AACGAGGTCTGTGGCCTCCTTTACATTTTGACAATGATAAAATCGTAGGTTGACAACTTAAGGTATGTTGACAGTTGCCTGGTTTTACCTTGTTACATGTTCAGTTTTAAATTAAACATAAATGCAGTTTTTCTTACATTAGTTAAAATCGTTTTGTTCAAAATTGTTCAAATTTAACATATGTATTCAGCGTACACAGACCTTTAAAAAACCTATTTCTTGACCGCAGTAAAGTAAATAAAGGTGCCAATATTTGGATAGTTCAAAATTTGAATGCGATTTCCTATGTTTCCAACGACGATGCACAATCCGCTATAGTATAATATTCTCATTTGTGCTTAAACATACTCTTTTGTACTCCTACATGCTCTTATAAAGGAATGTTCACACACGATGATTCTATTGTTGAATGTTCGCGAACGTTCCATCATCACGAATGAGAACGTTTTCTCTATTACTACAGATTACAATATTACATATACATAAGTGTTCGAAGACAGTTCCTAGACGAAAATACAATTACTGTTCAACGTTCCCCTATAAAAACAAACGCCAATTAAAACAATTTGATAAATGTCAAGTTAAGTAAAAGCGAAACCGTAGCCGGCCGGATGTAGAAGTCAAACCAGATCCAGACCCGAATGAGAAACCGTTTCCAAGGAGTGATTTATGAAAATTACGAAGGGAACAGGCAATAACGCCGTATTAAAAGACTAATAACCGTTGGAAAACCTATTACGCTCGGGTTAGGAATATTTCCCAGATTTTTTTAAAGTTTTGTAAAAGAATTTCGATAATTTATGGTCTATGAACTTATTAACGGCGTCGTAACGCTCTTTGTTGTTAAATAGGAAAAATAATTAGTGACGATATACAGGGTATCCCAATATTCCGTGGACATAGAACTACTACGTATTTTTGGAAACAAAACAAGTTTATCGGACATAATTTACCTCTATACAAAAGTGCTTCGTTTGTCCGCTAGAGTGCATCAAACTTTAAAAAAATAATCACAATTTTTCAGATATTTTAAGAACCGTTATACTGATTTGAATGAGATTTTGGATGTCTGTTTTGCGAAAAATTATGATGTGGCGTTTTTTTACCAGAGACAAAAAATGTAGTAAAAACTAGATTTTAGAGACCATTTTACGAAAAGAAAATCTCTCGTCGGTGAAGTTGGAAAATAATTATTATACTAAAATTTATGTAGGGGTGGAGATAGTTTTCCAATCCTTCCCGTACTTTTTCTTAATTTTAGGGAAAGCCAAGTATTAAGGCACCTAGCAAAACATAAACATCCCAAATCTCATTCAATCTAACTGAAAATATCTGAAAAAATGTGTTTATTTTTTTAAAGTATGATGCCCTCTAGCGGACAAACGAAGCACTTTTGCATGGAGGTCCCAATGTCTCAAATTCAGGTTTTATATTTCAAATGTCCCCACCAATCTCTTTTGTAATATACGGGGTGGTCCGAATTGTATTTGGGAAACTTTGGCAGAATACTTTGCAGATGAAAATAAGTAAAAAAGTTCGTGTAAATTCAGGTCCTAAAATGAGTGTAATACCGGAACGAACTAATAGTTACTACTCTTCAAAACAGTAAACAAATATCTAGGTGAAGCCCCCTATACGTAGAATACTGACACTGAAATCAAATTTCTCATGTCGACATATCGACGTCAGTTCAGAAAAAGGCTTCCAATTTTCGGGATCGGGATCCCGTTTTGACATCCCGCGATCCCGGGATTAACTAATGAACCAGAATGAGCAATTTGATCTAAGTGTAAATACTTAATAAAAATGCAGCTGCATATATCAAAAAGAAAATGAGAAAATGCTTTATTAAAGTAGACAAAACAAAGTACTTAACATTCATATTTAGTGATTAAAAAAATAATTCTTTTTGAAAAAGATAATAAAATATAGCAAACATGGAAATATAACTTTTAGATATTGACGTTCTGCATGGTATAAATACAATATGATCTTTGAAAGACTAAAGTGTATTAAGTCATCCCCAATCATTTTAGGTTGGGCATTTAAATTTTTCCAGATTTTCAGGATCCCGGAATTTAATATCGGGATTTCGGGATTAAACATACACAGAGATCCCGGTTTAGAAACCCTAGATCAGAAGTTATTTGAAGAAAAAGCGAAATAAAGTAAAACTTCTACACTAGGGTGGAGCGAAAATTCATTTTTTTAAAATTTGGTGACCTAGTTTCAAAAAAGGTTCAAAAAAAAGTGGACTAGTGTGCAAAAGCTATCTATTGTGACACAAAATAAAGTGTTAAAATCCCAACTTAATCAAAAATATTTTATAGGTTCCCTAAGGTCTGGAAGTTTTACAATAGTAAACATAGCAGTCTAATATTCTATTAGTCATTACGAATAATTACGTTATAAAAATTTTGTTAATTTTTATCTCCAGATTATGTTGCCAAAGTTTTCCGATTACAATTTGAACCACCCTGTATATTACAGTTGGGAGTTAGAACCTTTAGTGTTTCAAAATACTAACTCGCCACAATACACCAAAACACTATTAGTTTTGCATTGGACGTGCGTTTCGCTAACCATGTTATAATCAGTTAAGTTTTAAGCACCCTGTATATCTAAAAACAAGAACATTTGATCTGCTGGTGATACTAACATTGATAACGAAACGCGCTCCAGTGTGAAAAGTACAGTATTTTAATGTTCTGTAGTGAACTAAATTAGTATTTTATATTGCAGACAATAACAAGATTTTAAAAATATTTTCGCAGATATACAGGGCGACTGAAATATATTGTTAAACTAAAGTTATATTTTTTAAGTACGCTCCTGTTCTTTGCTGGGTAAATTTGCCATAAAAATCCAACCGAGTGGTTTTTGAGATACGGTCGTATGGTAAAAATATCCTCATCTTATACCGGGTGTTGCATCATCGAGCGGGACATAGGAAATCCCATGTAAATTTTAATGGGGTCAATTATTGGCTTCCCTAATTATTTTAGAGAATAATTCTATTTAGGTTTATTGAAGAACACTAAAACCCACATTCAAAAGAATAACTTTAGATATTTTTTATTAGCCCGTTTACGAATTATCGCCGATTTCTTTTTAAATATTTCTTCTTTCTTATGGCCCTGTATTTACTCATGAGCACCAGTCAAGGTAAAAGATAACTGTCAAATGAAGTTGTCATTTCAGAAATTTATGTATTTAGTGCTTTATTATTAATATTAAAAACTCATACCTACATCTTAGTATCATACTATCAAATATTAGCCATGAATTACACTACCGAAGCAAAAATTATTGATGATTAAATGGTATCATCAAGAAAATAGTTATCAAAAGGTGTCGGACATGTTTGCTGCTCTGTATCCGAATAGACCGATACCTGGAAAATCTACAATCGCAAGAAATATCCAGAGATTTGAGACCAAAGGTACCCTAATAAATAACTGCAGATGTGGAGCAAGCCAGGAACAAAGAGAAGATGCAAGAAATGATACCGACTTGGAAGTTTTATTGTGCGTGGAAGAGAACGATGGAAAGATCAGCACAAGGAAACTTGAGGATGAAATAAGAATAGATCACACTACAGCGTTTCGAATTTTGAAACGACATAAATACTATTCCTTCAAATATGAAAAGCACCAAGAGCTACGAGATGGGGACGAAATACGGCGGCAGGCGTTTTGTTTTGATATGATGGAAAGAGCAAACACGGATAGGGAATTTTTAAAAACATATGTTTCACTGACGAATGCACGTTTACCTTAAATAATGAACCCAATGTTCAAAATTATCGATATTGGAACAAAGAAAACCAACACAGGTTTGTCGAAACAAGGACGCAATATCCACAGAAAGTAAATGTTTGGGCAGGGATATTCGGACACAATATTATCGGGCCATTATTTCTTACGCGAAATTTAAATGCAGAATATTATTTGGAACTACTCGAAAATCATATTTTACCTTCTTTACTTGATGCCGCTAGGGAAAATCAGGAAGTTTGGTACCAAATAGATGGCTGCCCGGCGCACATAATACCCTGGCTGTTCGGGAATATTTAGACAATAGTTTTAACGGAAACGTTATTGGCCTAAATCATAGAGTAAATTGGCCAGCAAGGTCGATATTTCGCCAAATGATTTCTTTCTCTGGGGCCATTTAAGAAACAGGACATACAAGGATAAAAAATACTCAAATCTAGACGAGTTAAAAATGCTATTTCTGCCGAATGTAATAGAATTTCAGTTTACCAACTAACGAATGTAAGAAGAGAATTTTATGATGGGTTATTGTCTAGCAGTCGATGGAGGAATATTTGAACATCTTCTTAAATCCTAAAGTTCTAACAATTTAATAGTACCTAAATTAATAAGTTATTGAATATTGTAATAATACTATAATTAACCTTGTAATTGATTACTTTATTTTACTTTAATTCATATTAATTTGTATTTATAAATACATCTTTAAGATTACCGATGGAGGAATGAGTTTTCAATAATAATAAAGCACTAAATAGGTAAATTTCTGAAATGACAACTTCATTTGGCAGTTATCTTTTACCATGACTGGTGCTCATAAGTAAATACAGGGCCATAAGAAAGGAGAAATATTTAAAAAGAAATCGGCAATAACTCGTGAACAAGCTAATCAAAAATATCTAAAGTTATTCTTTTGAATGTGGGTTTTAGAGCTCTTCAATAAACTTAAATAGAATTATTCTCTAAAATAATTAGGGAAGCCAATAATTGACCCCATTAAAATTTACATGGGATTTCCTATGTCCCGTCCGACGATGCAACACCCGGTATAGTTTACCGCAAAAACAAAAAAAATACAACCAAATCTTTAAGAATCTACAACAAAAATTTCTTAAAGAATTTCAATATTACTTCCTACTAGCAAAAATTTTCAAATCTCAGATAATAATCAATAAAATATGAAAAAATGAAATCAAGAAATTTGAAAATAATGTCAATTCTTACCAGCAAAAATTCCGAAAAATATCTTCATCTTGTCTAGATTCAAATCAAAAACCGGAAAGCTCGATTCAAGGCACTTCCAGCCGCATGGTACTACTCCTATTTCGATTTCAAACACAGGACTCCGTCGCAACGCAGCCTAAAATCCCGACTGAACCACCACAAACCAAACTCGCGTCAGATTTACGAATCTGTGCTTTGTTTATGCTGGCAGCAAGGAAAAGAACGGTACTACGGTCTCTGTTTCTTCGTATTCCACTTATAAAGTAGAAAAAGACACACAAATGTTATTTTTGTTCGGGACACGGCGGCTCTGGGACCGCTCTAACGCGACAGGGGGTACCGAGTACCTGTGGATTTATTTATGACAAGTTTACAACCCTTGTGAAAGTTCTCAGATGGGTACTATATACAGATTTGATTTTTCTAGGACGGTGGGCATAGTATTTTAAAACCTATTTAGAAATCTGGAAGATTCGGAGAATAACTGTTGTTGTGATGTGAATAGAGAAGGTGGCAATGTTGAATTTTGGGAGGTGACACTATGAGTTTATTGGAGGTGGTATAATAATTTTAATTTCACGCTGTTGCTAAAGTAGAAGAGGAATAAAATGCAAGGTTAATACTCTATACGTAGCTTTTTACTTTGAAGAATGAAGGAGCTAATTAAAAACTTTTATTTTTGACAAGTAGAAAATAAAAGCAAAAAAAAATATAGAATTAGTTAATTCTAAGTGAATTTCATAATTGGTTGGTTTACTACCTTGGTAACGGATGTATTTTACCAGCGAAAAGTTATGCCCTTATTTGACTTATTTCTCACGATTTTTGAAATTACTCATTTTTTTTAATTCTATACCGCACGCTGCACAACTTTTACAATCTTTTTCGGTAATTCCTAAAAATGTCACTGTTAACTTAAGATTTAGAAGTATTGGATAAAAATGCATCATCTAATATTGATTTTAACAAAAGCAAACTCGAAATATTTAAAGACGCTGACAATATGGTGAAGGCTACATGGGATATAATAAATTCATACAGAGGTCCTATAAAATATACTGTGAGTACGAATGTTAGCGCAAATGATTTTAACGATTTTTTTGTGAATATAACGGAAAATATTGTAAAGTCTCTGAGCGTAGAAAATCGCACAGCGCTTGACTATATAACAAAATTTTCTAATAAACCTTTAAATCTAAATTTTTCCTTTAGAGAGGTAACTTTCATAGAAACTCGAAATGCCATAAATTCGTTAAAAAATAAGCATAGTAAAGATATTTATAACATGACCATTCCACTAGTTAAAAAAGTAATAAATTTATTAATATATCCTCTAACTAAATTATTCAATAGATGTATAAGAGACGGTACGTATCCCAGTTGTTTAAAAATTTCCAAAATCGTACCAGTATTTAAAAAAGGTAATCCTGAAAGTGTGAATAATTATAGACCTATAGCTTTAATACCCACACTTTCAAAATATTTTGAATATTTATTGAATAAAACACCAGTTAACACAACCAAACCAAACACCAGTTAACACATTACCTTGAATCTAATAACTTGTTCATAGAGAATCAGTTTGGGTTTCGTAAGGGAAAATCTACAACAATGGCTTGCATTCGTTTGATGGAAGATATAATTGAGGGTTTTGAGAGCGGTAACAATGTTGGTTCGGTCTTCTGTGACCTTACCAAGGCCTTTGATTGTGTTGATCACAACATACTTTTACAGAAAATTTCATATTATGGAGTAAATAATTTGAGTTCGAAATTATTGGCTGATTATCTTGTAAACTGATCTCAACAAACATTAGCTAACGGTAAACGGGCTAACTCTGATGTGAGTGTCGTAAAATATGGGGTTCCGCAAGGCTCAGTATTAGGACCCTTATTGTTTTTAATTTACATTAATGATTTACCCGTGGCTACACTTCAGAATAATATGAGTTTGTTTGCCGATGACACTACTATCTTATGTGCTCGGAAATCCCCTGAAGAAATTCAAACTGATTTTGAATCGATTTTGCTAAATGTTGGTGACTGGTTTCAGGCAAACCGATTATGCCTCAATGACACTAAAACAGAAAGAGTTATTTTTCTCTTAAAACAAAATATAAAATAGATTCCTGCAGTGTCTGATTTCTGGGAATAAAATTTGACACAAAACTGAGTTTTGAAAGTCACGTAGACTATGTGGCAGGGAAGGTTTCCATAAGCATGTATGCATTTCGGCGATTGGCTAAGTGTGTGGAGAGTGATGTGTTAGTAGCTGCCTATCATGCTCTCATTCACTCGGTGCTTACTTATGGAATACTTGTTTGGGGTCACTCAGCTCATGCTGACAGACTGTTTGGACTGCAAAGAAAAGCATTGAGAATTTTGTCAAATTTAAGTTATCAAGCAGATACAAAAAACGCCTACAAAAGAATGGGAATACTGACACTTCCATGTTGCTATATCCTCCAGTGTCTTTTATTTGTGAAGGATAACCTAGAACTATATACTGCGCATGATGAACAACACAATTATGCAACCAGAAACAGAATGAATATAAAGCCTGTTCACATTTGCGCCTCGGAAGATCTTGGATCTTATTTTAGTGTTACTGATTTTTTAGAAAGCAGTGAAGGGTTATAGCGTGGTTATAGGTCAAAACATTTACATTATGTATTTATTGTTTTTTTGTGTACTTTAAATTACTGTTTGAAAATTGTTGTGCTTATTTTATAATTTTACATTTTACAAAATATGACTTTGTGTAAGGATACTTGTATCTATTAACATGCAATAAATGATTTGATTTGATTTGATTTGATTTACTCACCCTGTATATATGCAGAAGGTAGAATGTATGGGTGTGGATCACCGCGAACTTACAGATATCTATTGTGTCTTCCTTTCTTTAGATATAACTCATCATACAGTCTCAGGGCTTTGACAAAAGCCAGTATCTGAGACGGTTTTATAGAGGTTAGTTCTCCATCTCTGATATCAGTCGTACCAAAGTCCGTGGCACGAATGGTTGTCGTCTCGGAGCACTCCGTGATGAGGTGTTGTGGTGTTTCCCCATTTTCCCCACAGAATCTGCATGCGCCGTTGTCTCTTAGCTTCAATCTACTGAAGTGTTCGTTGAGGAGACAGTGTCCTGTTAAAAACCCCGTGACAAGCCAAAGATTGTTCTTAATTAAATCAAGTCTTGAGAAATTTCTTCGAGTATCTTAGACCAATGGGGGATTCCTATTCCAAGTTACGGATGGAGTCTTCCAGGTTCTTGAGTTCCGCTTTAAGTTGGTTTCTGCTTGGGAAGCAAAACGGTTCTTGTTCAGTTAGCGGAGTGTACGCTCCTAGCTCTTTTCTGGCTAGATCGTTTGCTATTTCATTGCCTTATCCCTTGGTGGGCTGGCACCCAGAGTAGAAGGACATTATTTCTTTGCCTAGTTTGTTCAGCTTCTCTAGGCATTCTTTGACCAACTTCGAATTGATGGTTACTGAGTTGATCGCTTTTAATGCTGCTTGACTATCGGATAAGATGGCTATTTCTTGTTTCCGATAGTTCCTACGTATCTTGTATTTACTTTTGAAAACCACAACTATTATATAGTCTTTCTATTTAAAAATTTAAATTTGTAAAGCCCAAGACATTATGGAATTTTGATTAGGAGTTTTATGGCAAATCCACTGAATGAAACAATATACAACAATCTATACTAATATATAAAATCCTTAAGTGACTGACATACTAATTAATCACGATCCTGCTCAAACCACTCAACGTAAGAAACTCAATTTTGGCATACAGATTGATTCTAGGATGTAGAGATTCGATAAGAAAGGATTTTTCGAAATTCCAGTTCCAAGAGGATCGTGATTAATCAATGACCAGATTTTTCGAAACACGCTGTATACATTTTTAAAAAATCTTAAAATATGTAAAAAAACAAAATAAAATATACGTATTTAAGCGTTTTTTCGGAAACTTGACCGTTTTTTAAATAAAAAATATTGTAATATTTGAGGGGTGTGAAACCACCCCTTAAGATTTTTTAAAAATGTATACAGGGTGTTTCGAAAAATCTGGTCATTGATTAATCACGATCCTGCTTAAAGCGCTTGACATAAAAAGCTGATTTTTGGAAAACAGATTGACTTTAGGGTGTAGAGGTTCGATAAGAAGGGATTTTTCGAAACTCGAATTCTAAGGGGGTGAAACCAGGGGGATGACAGTGAAATAGGAAAATTGGAAACAGTCATTAGTGTCATTCTTGTCATTCTCCTCACGACAAGTATGGCCGCCTAGACAAGGACAGCATTGTTTTTGTCTAACTTCACAGTTTAGAATTGACAGATTTCAGTTTCAGAGACAACTTCAGATTTGTTCTAGAACAAATTCGAGAATATTCGACGCCATTTTAATTCATTCCGTTTAGTTTCGTTTTGGAAATTCAATTTAATATTTCGGCTGAAATTTATAAATATAAAGGAAATAAAGTATATAAAATATATATTACATGAAGAATCCTGGAGAAAATGACGTTTCTGCAGTAGTAGGTATGTCCCATGTATATGAAAAATAGGTAGTAAATAAACACTGTTTTTACATTTTTTAGATGCAAGAAAATGGTGTTATAATCTCTTTGCTCGGCGATTTTTTTGAAAATGGAAACAATTTAAGCAAGGTAAGATCATTTTTAACTATTGCCAACATTAGTTATCTCCAGTATGTGCGATTTATTGTCAATAATGCAATAAATCGGACTGATAATCTGATTATATTATCCGACTAAAAGTCAGGTCTCTTTGGGAATAATGGACGCTTTTTTAAACAGTATATTTATATTTTATACCTATTGATATTTTTACATTGTTAATTTTAGTATAAAAAAATTTGTTTTTCTGTTTTCAGGTTTTTGTATAAGGCTCCCGTTTTCATGTTCCTGTGTCCGTTTTCTGTTCTTGAAGTCTGCGAATACGTGTGTTTATTTACAAATTACTGTAAGCCATGCTTATACCCGTAACTAATTTACGTTAAAAGTACATATAATTAACTAATTAGTATTGAAACAATACAATCCTCTATATTTTTATATTTATTTAGTCACGTTGTTCCATATTTCAAATAAATATAT